GGGGGGCGTCCAGGAGCAAGCAGGGGGAGCCTCAGTGAGGGGCGTCCTGCGGAAAAGAGAAAGTGAGGACGCAGCCAGGGAGCAAGTAGGTGCCCTCTACAAATCCACCCCACGCCGTCCCACCTCCTTCCTGCAATCGCCACAGAAGACACCAACGGTCGCGTTCACCACCTGCACCCCACACAGCACGATCTCCAGGCACGAGGCAGCCACCAGCAGCGAGAAGAGTGTCACATTCCAGCAGACCACACCGGGCGGCTCCTCGCACAGACCCCACAGGGTACGGTTGAGCAGGTAAGAGCCTCTGTGGGCGGGGCAGGGTCACGTGAGAGAGGGAGGTCGAGCAGAGTGTCCCTCCCGGTTCACCGCCCCGCGCACGCGCGCAGGGGCACTCGCAGAAGGCTCGTTTGGCCCACGTGGAGGAAGTTCTCTCCAAGGCTAGACCTGCCGCGGTTTCATGGTCCACGTGAGACGGGCAGGTGGGGAGACGCAGAGAATGGAGGGGCGATAATACAGGCTAAGCCTTACAAGGTCTCTGCGAAGTGGTAATCCCACGTGCCGCTCATTAAGCATTTGGGTCCAGTTCGGAGTGCGGCTCCGGATACCGAGAGGCAGTAGATGGCACCAAGCACCCCGAACGCCGAGGAGAAGACTGAGCGCAGCATCTGAAGGCCGAGTGGAAGGAAAGGCGAGTAGGGCCAACCCCCCTCCATTCGTGGGCCGACCGCGCCTAGCTTCGCCCCCCAACCTATCGCCCTCGCCTGGAGTCGCATTAGAAGTACACTTCCCGTCAAACCCCGGGGCTTGCAGTTCCGCTAATCCTAAGAACCGGAGGCTGTGGAGGTTCATGGGGGGTAGTCCTCTCTGGTCAGGCGCACTGAGGCCTAAGATTTGCGGGTGGGAGGGAGGGTGACGTGGAGCCTGGGACTCTGCAGAGGAGCTCGTGTAGCTAGGAATTCTGTAGAGTGGGCCGTGGCTTTAGGTGTGGCTCTTCGAGCACCTGTTCCGAGACCGGTCCTGAATCCAGTTTTAGTTTGGATCTTACCCGGCAGCGATTTCCACAGCAGCCTGCACCGCAGCAGCCCTTGCCCCCTGCCCGAACGGCTGCGATTCCCGGACACAGTACCTAGGGGAGGAGAGTCAGTGTGATAGCGAGTCTCCCAGATCCCCAAGACCTTACTTGCAGTAGTGCCTACCTCCTCCTGGAAGCTGCCTGTGATGCCCTCATCCCTTTGGACTATAGGAAGACCTTATCTCTACTTCTTCTGGAGCTCTGTCGGGCTTGACCTTAATTTATCGTTATTTATGTGCCTGCTTATCTCTGTCCAGACTGTAGCCTCCAGTAGTGTAGGGCCCAATATCATTATATCCCCCTATCCCCCATAAATCTTGGCACATAGTAGGTGCCCAATGAAGGCGAGTCAGGTGGCTTGGGTTTTTTTTTTTTTAATAATTTTATTTATTTATTTTTCCCCCCAAAGCCCCAGCAGATAGCTGTATGCCATAGTTGCACATCCTTCTAGTTGCTGTATGTGGGACGGGGCCTCAGCATGGCCTGAGAAGCCGTCTGTCGGTGCGCGCCTGGGATCCGAACCCCGGCGGCCAGCAGCGGAGCATGCGCACCCAACCGCTAAGCCACGGGCCAGCCGGGGAGGCTTGGGTTTAATGTCACCTTTGTGCTCACTTCACACTCCATGAATTGATTCATCTCTCTGGGTCTGTTTTGTCTTTTGTAAAATGAGTCCACAACATCTACCTTACAGGGCTGTTCTCAGGATTTAATGAAACAACAGGTTGACTTGATGTCCAGACTGGCTCAGAGTAAATGCTCGATAACTATAAATTCCCTCAGCAGCAGGAAGAAATAGTGGTGTTGGAGTGTCTGGTGAGCTGGGATTATAGTGCAGAGTGGAGGAAGAGTGGAGGAGTTAGTGAATGCTCTGATGGGAAGTGTGGGAATCCCCAAGATACAGCCCTGATCCTCTTTGTCTTTCTTTCTCCCTGTGGCCTTCCTCACAGAGCCCATCCCCTGCCAGGGCATCACCTGCTCCCTCTAACAATAGTTGCCTCCTAAATTGATGCCTTGAGATTCAAATCTAACTGCCTGAAGGATAAGTTCATTTGAATGTCTTGATTTTAGCTCAGATTTAGCCAGCCTCATACTGACCTCACAATTTATTCCCCCAATTCATCTCTCTTTGAGTTTCTGGTCTCCATCAGTGGAAATATCCTTCAGGTCACTCAGGCTGGAAAAACTGAATCCTCCACACCCAGCCAGACCTCAAGTCCTTGCAACTTTTCCTTCAATGGCTCTTGAATCTGTCAGTCCTTTCTTCTCCACTGTCAATCCATAATCATCTCCCATGAGGATGATGTTCTCAACCTCCCTACTAGATTTCTGTATCTCTTGCCCCATGCCGCTCCATCCTACATTGCTACCATCAGATTAAACTTAGCTTTCAATTGGTGTTTTTCCTATTCAAATCCTTTAGGGTCTCCTCAAAGAGTAGCCCATCAAGACTGAACTCTAGGAAGGCGTTTGAGCCTTCTCACTTTAGCTCCAGCCTTATCTTTGCTGCACAAGGCCTGGTTCTTTGCCCATCTCCCATCTCTGGAATTCCACAGCTGTCTTGACCTTTGCTTTCCTGTGTGTCTTGTCCAGCACACACCATACAAGGCTGCATTTTGTTCTTCTCCAGGGGAAGGGCTGAGAGTTTTAGTTGTATCATCCACAGCAACCTCACAGAAACACCTGCAGAGTTGAATGGACTTTCCAATGGACACTCTCTCTCCTCTTCCGTGTCTCAGGGCAGGTCTAGGACCAGTGCTGACCCCCTTGCTTAGCCTCTCTAGTTAGGTCACTTACTGGGAAGCTCCTGGATCCAAAGACATCTAGAATTTGGATTTACCTTTTTTGTTGTTGTTGAGGAAGGTGGCCCCAAGCCAACATCTGTGCCCATCTTCCTCCACTTTGTATACGGGATGCTGCCACAGCATGGCTTGATGAGTGGTGTGTAGGTCTGCGCTCAGGATCTGAACCCGTGAACCCCGGGGCCACTGAAGGAGAACACGCGAACTTTACCACTATGCCACCAGGCCAGCCCCTAGATTTACTATTTTTAAATGATCTACCTGTTTGAGATTTTTACTTTTTTAGTCAAAGTATTTGTTTCCTTTTGTTGTCCGAGCTTCTCTGCCTCGCTCTCTGCCATCTACTCATCTTAGTGAAAAGAGAAGGGCCATTGTAAATGCAGGAGGAAAAATTGAGTTTGTAGCTTGAATCCGCTTACTTTTCTCCATCTCCATGGCCACTGGCCTACTCCAAGTCACAGAAAGACCTCAGTTTCGTCTTTCTGCATCCACGGCTGACCTCCTACTATCCATTCTCCACACAGCAGCCAGAGGGATCTTCTTAAATCCAATAGAGTGTGGAGCAACTAGAACTCTCATACTTTGCTGATGGGAATGAAATTGGTATAAGAACTTTAGAAAACTATTTGGCAATACCTGTCAGCACTGAATATTTGCACACCTTAAGAATCAGCAATTTTATGCCTGGGTATACATCCAAAAGAAATGCAAATATATGTTCACCTACAGACATTAACAGGAATGTTTATAGCAGTATTATTTGTAATAAACCCAAGTCGGAAACTATCAAATGTCCATCAGCAGTAGAAAGTTTAAATACACTGTGGTATTTTCACACAATGGAATGCATAAGAAATAATAAACTACAACTACACATAATAATATGGATGAATCTCACAAACCTAACATTGAGCTAAAGAAGCCAGACACAAAAATGTCCATACAGTACAATTCCATTTATATGAAGTGGGAAACAGGCAACTAATTGACAAGGTACAAGTCAGGGTAGTGCGGACCCTTGTTGGTGGGGGGTAGTGCTTGGTGTGGGAGGCATGTCTGGGATTCTGGGTGCTGAGTACATGGGTGTGTTCACTTTGTAAAAAGTCATTGAGCTGTAGACTAAGGATCTGAGCAATTGTCTGGATGACTTCAACAAAAAGTTCAAAAAAATTTTTTTTAATTCCAAAAAAGTTTAAAAAGTCCTTCAATAGTTTTCTGTTGTACTTGTGATAAAATTCAGATTCCTCGCCGTGGCTTTCTGCACAGGCTCTGGTTCTGCCCACCTCAGCTTTCATTTCATGAAATCCCCGCTGCACTGGCCGTCCAGTCCTCAGCTGCGCGAGCCTGTTCCTGCCTCAGGCTCTGTACTTGCCTGTGCCCCTGTCTGCAGTGCTGATTCCTTCTTTTGGTCCTTAGGGTCTTGGTTCAGACATCACCTCATCACCTCATCGAGGCCTTCCTTGAAAACAATGTAAAAGGTGGCCTCCCACCTTAGCCCAGGAGCTCTTTATGACGGCACCCTGCTTTGTTTTCTTGATGATACCTACTCCTGTCTGAAATCGTCTTGCTCATTTACATACTTTGTTCATTCACTGACTATTAATCGAGTGCCTGTTAATTGCAAGGCACTGATCTAGGCACCTGGCACACAGCAGCCCACAAAACAGGCAGTCCTTGCTCTCACAGGGCTTACATTCTTGCTTCCTTGATACTGTGTGTTTCCCTGGCGGGAACACCAGTTTCGGGCAGAGCAGGGACCTTGCCTGTGTGCCCATGGTGTAGCACGGACTGAGTGAGTACATTTCAGAAAGCCTTCTCAAGAATGGCTCTGGGCATGGTGGCGGGAGGAAGGCAGCTGGGAAGGAGCACGTTGGGAGGGCATCCTCAGGGGTCTCCTGGAAACACGCTGGTTAGATGGTGGGGGATGGGGTGGTTTAGGCTGGAGGATGGGTGGTGCGAGGCGACACTGGGTGAGTGAGTAGGCCTGGGAGGAGTGTGACATCTCAGAGAGAGTTGAGGTCAGAGGGATGGAAAATCCAACAGCAATGAATCCATGAGGGAGGGGGAGTAGGAGAAAAGATCCCAGAGGGTAAGAGGGGATTGTTGGATAAAGGAGAAGAGGTGTGACCAGTGAAAGAGAGGGAAAATGAGACCTCTCCAACCCTCCTGAGAAGTGGGGAACCATACGTAGTAGATCTTTTGTCTTCATCCCATGAAGACATTAAACTAGCTTGACCTTCCAAAACTTCCCTTAAATGGGGAGGGAGTTGGAGGATGGGGGTCAGGAAGTCCAGGAAATCTGTGTCTTCCCTTCCCCCACTTCTCCTGACAGATCCTATTCTCCAGAAAGATGTGGGGGCACCTTCTCTGCCATGCTGACCTAGGTTCTGAGTTTATCCTTAGCGCCAAGCACGGAGTGGGCATCCAGAAATGTGGGCTGAGAGTGAATGGACATGGAGGTCGGGGAGGGTGACAAGAGCTGATAAGCAGAATAACTGATCTGCGACATTGCTCCCTGGTTCCAGACCTTGTCCCTGCACCCCAGCCCCATGCCCATTATTATCTTGCCCTGATAAGCTCCCACATAACCAGCTGCTTCTTCTGCAGGTTCCCAGCATCTGCTCAGCAGTGGGGGCGGTGAGGGGCAGGTAGGACATACTCCCTACCCAGAAGGGAAGTTGTTTAGAGCAGTGAGCCTCCCTTTCTTCTTGTTCCCCTCAGACACTCAGCTCAGGACCCTGTGGCCCCTCCAGGAACTTTCCAGAGTGCTCAATGTTTGGGGGCAGGTTGGGAGTGCTCCAGGTTCCCACCACACCACTGCCATCCCTTCCCAGGCAGCCGTCCTTTGCCCTCTCTCCGAGTCCCTCCTGTTCAGAACCCCGTAGAGTGGCGCCCAGCCCCCTGGTCTGTGCTCCCTCACCAGCTTTCTCACCATCAGGCCCCCACCGATGAAGCCAGCCATAAGCCAGACTTGCAAGCTGAGGTGGTCGGACCAGGCAGTCTCCCCATTAGGCACCAGCAGGAGGGCGTTGGCCACAATGCAGACCAGGGAAAGGGGGATGAGGGAGAGCCCCACAAAGCGGGCACACTTTCCCGTACACATGGCGAGGCAGCTGGGGAGGACAGGCAGTGAGTGAAAGTGAGCCCTGGTTCCCAGCTCCAGAGGAAAACAAGCCTGGAGCGAGGAGCAAAGGTACAAAGGTCGGGGAAGAGGTGTGGCAGAAACTGGCAGGATCAATGATACCGGGAGGGAGGGAGGCAGGAGACGGGCAAAGAGGAGGGGAGGTGAAGGGAAGGATGTGGTAGAGGAGGTGGGGGAGCCTGACACACAGAGGAAGTTGCCTGGGGTCAGTGTGTTCTTCCTCTTTTTCTGCACACACCTCTCCATAGCCCCTCTGTTGGCTCCTTACCTGCTCTGTGACTTAGCCAAGCCCCTTAATATCTCTAAGTCTCAGTACCCTCAGCTGTGTAAAGGGTACAGTGATGCCACTTGGCTTGTGGGCTGGTTGTGAGGATTAAATGGGACGACATGAGAAGTATTTTGTAAACCAGGATGCACTAAGCAGATGTATGGTGGCCTCATTGTTTCTGTTAGTCTCACGGGGAGGGTTCTTCCTGGAAAGAAACTAAGAAGATGGTAGTGGACATTCGTTGTCCTTTTATTTCTTCTTTTTGATATTTGTTTATCAAACCCTCCTCTGGTTGAGGCCACTGCCTGTCTCTCAGGGTGGGCTCTGGACTGAGGCCTGATTGCTTAGAGCATTCCATCCCCTGACCTCTGTGTCTGATTCAGCGATGGCCACATGATCCAAGCCAGTTTCGTGAGAATCAATTTCTGGTTTTTGTTGTTGACAATCTGAGGTCAAAGAAGTTCTGTTTTTGTTGGGGTGCTGATGTTGCTGGTGGCATATTGTTGTCACGAGGGAGGGTCTTCCTGTCGGAGAGTGAAGTCAATCCAGAGGAAAGAACAATCGAGAGATGGAGAGAGACTAAGTCTTGATGACATCATTGAACTTGCAGATCCAGCGATGCCTGAAGCCTGATCATTCCTTGGAAAATTTTGATTATGTAAAGCAGTTAGAGTTGTGTTTCTGTCGACTGCATTGTAGAGAGTCTTTTTGATGCAGAGATTGATTCATTAAGCCCTTGCTGTGGACAGGACCTTGTGCTGGAGACTGTGGGGATTCACAGTTGCATGCATCAGACCCAGACATGGGCCTCCGAAGCAAAAAGGAGAGCAAAGGCCCAAATAGGATGTGGTGGTGCCGTGGAAGAGACGAGGGTGGCAGGAAGTGCTGCGGGACTTCAGAGGGCACGCGATGAGAATGTCACACAGAAAGGGGCATCCAGCCAGTGGCCTCTGTTGTAGCTTGTCCCAACAGCCCACTGAAACCACTACAGAGACATGGAAAATGGAGAAAACTTACCACTCAAAATGAATGCCAGAATCTGGGAGGGATTCCTACTACTTATAAGACAGAGGAGCTGGATTGAGAAAAATCTATGAAAAATTTACCTCTTGAATCAGAGGATGCCTGAAAAAAAAATACTTTGAACCTCTCCCAACTGTCTGCCTCTGACTCATAGGCAATTATTGTGATAACTGATATTTGGTTTTGCTTCTGTTGTCTTGTTTAATGCTTTAAAAAGATCTCCATGTTGTTTTTGATGTCTCTTTTCATTAAGTTTTCTGCCTCTTTGCATGAAATTTTTTACATTCTCCTGTGTTTTAGAAGGCATATTTTAAATCCTGGTAGCGGTTGCTTGTACATGTTGCAAAAGTATCCTTTAACTTGTCACCCTGCATCTTTCTGAGGAGCCTCAGACTGCCTATCATCCCTGCAGCCTCCTCTGAGGGGTCTGTATAGATGGTTTACCGTGCTTAGCTTTATAGCTTATGGCTATATGTCCATGTGATTCTGTGGTAAAAATTGAAAACTATTTGTTCCAATTCTTTAATCCACTGTGCTCTTTGCTATCTCATTTTGTAGTCCCTCCCACCAGAGGTAGATTGTACCTCCCACCATATGTGCACAATGGAATGTGGGCAGGATCAACAATATCCCAGTTCTGAGCCTAGGCCTTAAGAGGCATTGTGTGTTGCTACTTGACACCTTGTGTCCCATCATTGCCATGGGAAGAACATGCCCAAGTTAGCCCACTGGTAAAAGGGAGGCATAAGATACAGGGGAAAGGCCCAGATCAGCTGTCCCCAACAACCCATACATGTATGAGTGATATAAATGCTTATATTTTTATGTCACTAAGACTTTGTGGGCTTTTTTGTTCCACAGCAATAGCGGACTGACACAAATCCCATTATCCAGGCCACAGCTGATTGATCCGGGAATGAGTTGCTAACCCAAAGGCAGACATGTAGCCAGAGACCTATGAGGTAGCTTGAGGCGAGAACTCTGCCCAACAGAGCTACCCTCACTATATGATGACTGAGCAATGAATTGGGTCTTCATTTTTGGGAAACTTGACTGTGAGACAACCTGGGAGAGTCATCAGAGGGAAGGGTGGCCCCAAACTGAGAGAAATATGAAAGCAGAGAGTGAGCAAAAGCCATGAGGCAAGTGAAACCATAAATAAGCAGAAGCCATATGGAAGAGAATTGTGTAGACAAACAGTGCAGGAGGAAGAGGAACAAGGACCAGGAAGCAGAGATGGAGAATTTGGGTCTTAGGTGAAGCAGCTGAAAGAGGTTCTGCTGAGTCACCAGGAATAATGTTGAACTGCTAGAACAACCATCATGCCGAATAGTGGGCCTTCCCATTCTAGGCCTGGAGAGGGGATTCAGCCGTTTTCCCAAGGCACAGAGAGTGTGGCGGAGAGCAAGCCACATATTTGTCTACAAGTCCATCAATACTGAGTCTGAGAGATGGTACTGCTTTTCAGGATAAATAAAGAGAGAAAAAAGTTCTGTGTGTGGGGTGGTTCACAGGTATTCATTATATTACATTTTATACAATTCGGTATGCATGAAACAGTGTTAATAATGTTAAAAACATTATAAGGATTCTGAAAAATTTTCTCAAAACAAGGGAAGGGGCACATCATCCTGAAGACTGAAAGAAAGAGACAGAACTCTCGAGAAATATTTACTGGAGGATTTGGAAGGAATTTTCAGGGAGGTTTTCACTAGAATTCTCCTGGAAGTAGGAGCAGAGTATTTGAAGAAAGAAACGGCTGAGATGGAAAGGCGCCAGCATGTACCTGGGGGAGAAAAGGGAGAATTGCACGGAAACTCAAAATGCACAAAGAGAACCACGGTATGGATCAGAGGCACTAAAGAACAGATTAGAAGCTGGGACAAAGTGATTGAGGGATGGAGAGGACAAACTGCAGAAAACTCTTGAGTTCACAAGAAAAGGACCAAAAGTTTAGGAAAAAGGACCAGCAATTAAAACACTGGAAGGGAAGACAATAGAGAAAACAGACATGTCGGGTAATGTTGAGATGAACAGATGAAGAGATGTCAGAGATGTTGGCTGCTCCCAAAGACAAGAATGGAGCTCGTGGAAGTGACGCTACAGTTAACAACTTTGTACTGGCAGAAAGCTTCCCTGGGCATAGATCCACTTGAGTTAGCAGGGTGAAAGGCGTACTGTACCCCAGGTAAAATATTAAAAGTGAATTGAACCTAGATTCACCCTGACAAAATATGTGAATTAAAAGGCTACCTAGAAAGGAACAAAAGTCGGTCTGGCCTGAGACTTCTCTGCAATACTACATGACAGAAGACAAAGGAGCAATGTCTATAGTTATGACAGGAAAGAAAGGTGACTCAATTATTGTGCATATATCCAAGTTCCTTTTTGTGTGGGAAGGGCAACAGAATTGCATTTCTGAGAATGCTTGGATTTGCAAATACCACTGTGTCTCCTTGTTCTCCTTTTTTTAAAAAAGAATTTTAACTCACAAGAGGTATAGTAAAAGAAAAACTGCAAATTGGGGAAGTCTTGGCAAAACGCTAAATAATTTTCATAAATCCGGTTATGAAACTCAGTGAAAATTTCAACAAAAAAAATCCTTTAAAGAGAAAATACATAAGTTCTAAAAATTATATTAACAGTAGTAAAGATGTCAATTATTTATTGCCTGCCATACCCAGAGTCCATTTTAAGGAAATATATTAGGTAACAGAAAACCCAAGTTTACTGAAACAAAAGGGGAATTTATTGGTTCATGTAATCAAAACATCCAAAGATAGAACTAACTTGCAGGCACAGTCCATGAAAGAAATAATTGAGGGGCCTGGCCCCGTGGCTTAGCGGTTAAGCGCTCGCGCTCTGCTACTGGCGGCCCCGGGTTCGGATCCTGGGTGCGTACCGACGCACCGCCTGTCTGGCCACGCTGAGGTGGCGTCCCACATACAGCAACTAGAAGGATGTGCAACTATGACATACAACTATCTGTTGGGGCTTTGGGGAAAAAAAGGAGGAGGATTGGCAATAGATGTTAGCTCAGACCGTCAGAGCTGGTCTTTCTCAGCAAAAAGAGGAGGATTAGCATGGATGTTAGCGCAGGGCTGATCTTCCTCAAAAGAAAAAAAAAAAGGAAATAATTGATAAGCTTCATTAAAATTAAAACATCTGCCCTGTGAAAGACACTGTCAAGAGAATGAGAACAGAAACCACAGACTGGGAGAAAGTATTTGCAAAAGATGTATCTGATAAGGGACTGTTTATGTTTGTATTTTTATCCAAAATATACAAAGAACTCTTAAAACTCAACAATAAAGGGCCGGCTCCGTGGCTTAGCGGTTAAGTGCGCGCGCTCTGATGCTGGCGGCCCGGGTTCGGATCCCGGGCGCGCCCCGAGGCACCACTTCTCCGTCCAACGTGAGGCCGAGTCCCACGTACAGCAACTAGAAGGATGTGAACCTATGGCATACAACTATCTACTGGGGCTTTGGGGGGAAAAAAAATGAATAAATAAAATCTTAAAAAAAAAAAAAAACAAAACTCAACAATAAGAAAAAACAACCTGATTAAAGAATTGGACGAAAGACCTGAATAGACACCTCACCAAAGAAGATATACAGATGGCAAATAAGCATATGAAGAGATGCTCAACATCATATGTCATCAGGGAAATGCAGATTTCCCTACAACAATGAGATACCATTACACATCTGTTAGAATGGCCAAAATCCAAGACAGTGACAACATCAAATGCTGAAGAAGATGTGGAGCAACAAGAATTCTCATTCATTGCTGTTGGGAATGCAAAATGGTACAGCCACTTTGGAAGAAAGTTTGGCAGTTTCTTAAAAAATCAAACATACTCTTACCATACGACCAAGCATGGTATTTACCCAAGTGAATTGAAAATTTATGTCCACACAAAAATGTGCACACAGATGTTTATAGCAGCTTTATTCTTGATTTCCAAAACTTGGAAGCAAACAAGGTGTCCTTCAGTAAGTGAATGGATAAACTCTGGTATGTTCAGGCAATAAAATATTGTTTGGCACTAAAAAGAAATGAGCTTTCAAGTCATGAAAAGACATAGAGGAAACTTAAATGAATATTACTAAGTGAAAGAAGCCAATCTGAAAAGGCTACACACCGTAGATTCTAACTATATGACATTCTGGAAAAGGCAAAACTCTGGAGACAGTAAAAAGGTCAGTGTTTGCCAGTGGTTGGGGGATGGGGGAGGGATGAATAGGCAGAGCACAGAGGATTTTTAGGACAGTGAAATTATTCTGTATAATACTATAATGGTGGATCCATGTCATTATACATTTGTCAAAACCCATAGAATGTACAACACCAAGAGTGAACCCTATGTAAACTGTGGACTTTGGGTGATAATGATGTGTCAATGTAGGTTCATTGATTGTAACAAATCTACCACTCTGGTGGGGGTTGTTGATAGTAGGGGAGGCTGTGGGTGTGTGGGTGCAGGGGGAAGTATATGGAACTCTTTGTACTTTCCACTCAATTTTGCTGTGACCCTAAAAGTGCTCTAAAAAAATAAAGTCTATTTTTTAAAAAAGTATCCAAGCTAAGAGAGTAGATCTTAAAAGTTCTCATCACAAGAAAAAAAAATTGTAACTACCTGAGGTAATGGATGTTAACTGAACTTATTTTGGTAATCATTTTGTAATATATACATGTATCAAATCATTATGCTGTACACCTAAAACCTATACAATGTTATATGTCCATTACATCTCAATTAAAAAAAGTCTCTAAAAAGATTACATTGTACTTTAAAATTGAGACAGAAAGCCAATGATGTATTTAGGAAGTCATAGAAACAAAGTAGTGGGGTGAAAATTTGATGTGAGTGAAGGTGTCAGTTCTGCTGATACCACCTGGTAAAACAAGAGAGCGCCAGGGCCGGCCTGGTGGTATAGCCGTTAAGTTCGCGAGCTCCGCTTCGACAGCCCGAGGTTCACAGGTTCAGATCCCGAGTGTGGACCTGTGTACTGCTTGTCAAGCCATGCTGTGCTGGCGTCCCATATAAAGTAGAGGAAGATGAGCATGGATGTTAGCTCAGGGCCAAACTTCCTCACAAAAAAAAAAAAAAAAAAAAAGCACTAGCAGTTTGGGAGAAATTCTCAGAGACAATAGCGGAGCACTCTTGAGAAATGCTGCATCACCAGTGCCACCCCCCCTTTTTTCCCTTTTTCTCCCCAAAGCCCCAGTAGATAGTTGTATGTTCTAGTTGCACATCCTGCTAGTTGCTGTATGTGGGACGCCGCCTCATCATGGCCAGATAAGCGGTGCATTGGTGCGCGCCCAGGATCCAAACCCGGGCCACCAGTAGAGGAGCCCGAGCCCTTAACCGCTAAGCCACGGGGCCAGCCCCTCACCAGTGCCCTTGATGGCACAGAGGACAGTATTTTGTGGGAAAACACAGACATCTGTAACTCAGTCAGAAAGCAATTTAGGAGAATCAGACTCTGAAGAAACTTTTGGAATATTTTAACCAATTTGTTTTACTAATAGTTTTCATGTATGCACCAGAATGACTTTTTTAAAAGGGTCTAAAAGAGCTTTTAAATTAGCAAAAAATAAAAATTTTAAGTGTTAAGAAAGCATCGTGTTATAATTTAACTGGCAGCATTTTTTTCTTAGTGGTACATAAAATAATAGTGTGTGTTACAATTAAGGTGTCTTAGATTCAGTGAAATTCAGTATAGAGCACCCTCTCTGTATTGGCCCAGTTCTGGACCCAGTGGATACAGCACTAAACTTGACAGACACGGTGCCTCCTTGTACTTTATATTATAGTTTGGGGAAACAGGTAATAAACTAGAAATTAGAGACTATGCTAAATTATATGAAGGAAAT